GGGGGGGGGGGGGGGCTAAACCTTTCAACTGCATACAACGAACGTTGTCGAGAAGCAATACATACCACATTTACGCGTGTAGGGCTTGAACGTTTGGATTATTAGGAGGCACCCACCCTCGAAATAACAAGAGAGCGCACACGTTACACACGCATACCTGGTAGAAGTCGGGCAGTTCTTTTGCCAGCCTTTGCTCTGCGAACTTCTCGAACTCTGTTCGGAGATCTTCGAGGGAGAGCTGATCCCGGAACGAAGACTTCATCTGCGAAGCGAAAGGGAAACATGAAGAAGGTAAACGCAGTAGCTGCCGTCACAGCGCATTAAGGGATGGAAACACTACAAACAGGATGTAACGGGTTGAAGAATAGTTTGCCTCAGCTCCACGTTCAACACCCTGCTGCACCATCGACAATAAAGAGGTTCCTTGACTAACAAAAGCACACCAGCGATAAGAAGGACTTGCTGTCGCCGGCATCACTGGTTGATTCGTTGTGGGTTTTTCCCGTGCTTACGAAGACGCGCCGTTTCCGAACGCCGGCGTAGAGTCCAGGCGTTAATGTAGCTGGATGGTGTGTCTTTCATTTGTCAGCTGGTGAAGAGAGCGGTCGATGCTACCGAAGCAAAAAGACACGCACACACCATAAAAACATAATAATGATAGGCCACCCCGCAACCAACCGTCTTTGCTAATTAGCTCCATTGAGACAACGATCACCTATGAGCGCGGAGGACACTGCCTAGAACAGGATGAGAGAACGGGCACGTATTCACATATAGAGTCGTGCACCTGAGCAGGGGTCGGGAGCGTGGAAAATCCGTGGGTGTAGCTGTGTAGGTACTCTGCGTCTCCCGTGAGGTACCGGTACATTGGCTCTGCTATCGGGGGCCAGAAGAGAACCAAGGAGTCCTGCTCAAGGGTTTGGTGTTTCCATTGCAACAGGCGCGTGCACGAAGGGGACGAGGGTCGGTCATCGGCGGCATCTCAAGCTTAGAAGAGCCCCAACCAGTTTTGCATAGAAATTGGTGGGGGTGCGGGACGGGGTGCGAAAAGTGAAGCCTGGGGCAATCGCAACCGGTGTCCACCGACGTTGTTGTTTCAGCGACGACGATGGTCGTATCGGCGCAACAGTCGACCTGACAAAAGTGGAGGATACGTTCTGCAATACACGGGAAAACAACGCAAGTGATGATCGATACTACTTGTGATGGACGAACATGGACATCATCTCTTTGGTAGGTAATCGATCGCTCCGAAGGCCTACCCTCTTGGTGTCCTCTTCTCGCTCTGGTTTTCGTTCTGTGTAGTACTACTGCTGTAGATGAAACCAAGAAGCCTAGCCCCGTTATCTTGAACAAATGAAAAAAAGGTCTTGTGCACTTGGTGCAAAGCAGCGGTGCGACGCCAAAATTCAGTGTTTCCTAGGCGAAGGCAGCGAAAACAGTGACAGCGACCAGAACGCCAAAACAACAACAGCAGCAGCAATGAACTCTTACAAAGAAGTTGTGGTATAGGACCCAGATCCTCCGGATCTCGTGCCGATGGTCGAGGATGGCATGCTGGAGGGGAAAGACGACGGTGCCGGTTACGAGCAGGAACGTGAGCTGGAACACCTGACAGAAACACGAACAAAGGACAGACAGACGAAATAATAACCGAAGTATATTATACCAGATGGAATTATGCATTCTAACCCAAAAGATGGCAAGCACATACTCTATCTCTGGCGGAATGAGGTAACGAAGACAACAACAGCCAAGAGACGGACAGCACCACCGCCAAAGCCGGACACAAACAAAATAAAAGACAAGAGGTGGTACCGGTATCAGGCCCAGCAGGGAATCCTCAGCAAGCTGAACTGAATGGACAACAAGAACAAAAACAAAAAGTAGCAGTTCACCGAAATCACACATGCAACCGAATCATGCCCGGGAAGAGCGAGAAGATCGAACAAAACCAATAGCAGCAACAGCACCAGCGGCGGCGGGCGGTGCAAAACTAGCGGTTCAAAACTCCTTTGCAGAATTCCCTCTCCTGTGTAGGCGCAGCATGTAGACAAAGAAGACTCAAAGGGCTCATAGACTTGCCGCGTGAAAGAGCAAGCGGGCCCGTTTTTTAGCGAAAATCAACGAAATCGCGATACAGGTTAGTTGACAGGGGCTTGTGAAATAGCAGAAAATGCCAATGACGTACAGTAGTACTGTAGTCCGAGCACCATAAAGTACAGGCATGTTCAGTCTCCTCACGCTGCCAAACAAAGAGTGAAACCCGTTAACCAAGAAAGAAAAAGTAAAGCCTTCTTCCAATCAATCCGGTTGTATCAATCTAACGAACCGATTACGAATATATCGACCAACAATACCTCCTTCACCCTCACCCCCTCATCTTATCCTCAAACCTACGATACCTACCGCTGCGCTGCTCTACATAAATGCAAGATGGCCCACTGAGCGGGATTCCAAACGTATTGCCCCGACGGGGGTAAGGGCAGCCAATGGGGGGGGCGACGTACCGTACGTAAAATCTTACCATACACTTCGACACGGGGGGTATTTGTTGCCATCCCCGGACTGGACGGGGGGACAGTGATTTTTCTTCCCCTACGGAGGTCCATTACACAATATCAAGCTGGGATAGGAGGATGAGCAACATGCGGTGTGCGCCTGGAATCCCGCTCCGTGGGCCCTCTCGATACATGGTACCACATGGCACACACCAGGGGACAGGAACACATCCCACCTGTAGATGGTATTCGTTCATCTGCTTGCGAACTTTTCGCATCTGGTACACCAGCACGAAGGCGCCGGCAATCAGCAAGCCATCCAAGACGTACGTGAAGGATTCGACCGGCCGGTAGCTCTCACACCAGTTGCGCGTCTCGTTGAACGGGGCCAGGTCCTCGTCGGCGGTGTACACCACGGCAGGAAAGCTGCGTTTTATTGTTCCGGGCACAGGAACGGGGGTTACGACGTTTCGTGTCGACATTGGTGGGGAGGGAACGGATAGGACGTGCACATTCGAGCGCTGGGAACAGGTCCACCCCACGCGTGGCAAAAGAGATCTCGCGGCAAAAAGAGCAAAAAATTAGAAACATGTGTGTGTATGTGCGTCAATGCCAATGTCTAAAGGGATGGGTGATGGCTGACTGGTGGCTTTGAAACAACGCCGCTCCACGGTGGCTACCCGAACACCCTCGGAGTAGTAGTAAAACGTAAAAACTAAACCCACGAGTGATTTCCTCGAAGAATCGAAACACCGGCACCCGGCCAGCCGTTTTCGACAAAAGTTTCTTTCGAATGTTGGCCTCGGGAAGCTCGAGCAGCATGGGAGCACGCGCGCGGCCTGACCTTTGCTCTCACAAACTGAAGAAATATTCCCACACAACGCAACAACACGGCAACTTGCAAAGGCCCCAAGCAAGCTATCAACCCAAACGATTCCGCCCAAACAACCGGAGTACTACGAACAGTGAATGATACTACATAGTCAAACGGACAACAACAGCCTGTGCAAATCACACACAAACGCGCGTACCGTTGTTGCATCAATGCCAAAAATTGCAATTTATCGTGGACGATGAGAACTGCGAGAAATGGCTCCCTCCCCTGGACCCATTTTCAACTCTCGATTGCTCCCCGACCAGCTTGTGCCAACACCGAGGATGGTGGTGTTTTGGGAAAAATGTCGTCGATGGCTTTCCGTAGACGTATCCGGCTCTGAGAGTCGGTCTAGGGGTTAGGGTCAGGGTCACTCGCGTTTTGGTTTTCGTGGGACTTCTAGGACGCCCGGCCGGGCGGTGTAGTGGGTACTGTACCGCGTTAACCTACCAGTAGCACGTTGGAGTTCGACTGTCCCTGTGGATGGGGTGAACAACATACTTTGCAGTTTGTAGTGCATAAATAGCCGTAACTAATTTCGTTACCAATCAACCACGCGTTTCGACTCCACCCAGAACGAAACGGACGGCTGAACCCTTGTCACGATAAAAAGGATGAAAACACCACAAGGAAAGATGGGGCATAGTCTACCAACAATACGACAAATACACAGCTTCTGCGCGCCCTTCCTTCTGTGTAACTCCGTCCGGATGATAAGTCAAGCATAGACTATAGACTATACCGGAAGTTGCAGAGACGCCAGCTTAGATGGAACTAACAAACGCACACACACGTGCAAGCATCCTACCCCTCTCACCACCAAGGGACTGTCAGCAACGCCACCTGGGCCCACGGCCGCCACATGTCAACCGAGTGCTTGACGAGAATTTTCCAACTCCGGTACACGCGAACCAGGGCTACGGAGATCCACACACCCCAGGTGGCGTACTGGAACAGGGCGTCGAACCCGCAATGGGCTGTTGTTTGAGAAAGAGGCACACGCACGGGTCAAAAAAGGGTAAAAATATGTATGTACGAGAACGGTGCACAGGGGGGGCGAGCGTAAACAACTCGCTGCCTGCCGCGTGATGGCCTGATATGTTGACAACCTGCACAGACAGGGGCGTAGATGGGCAAACCCTACACACCCAAATGCGTACCACTTAATATAAGCCATTGTTTGATTTTTCG